AAACTCATTTGGTGAAACCCAGTCCAGAAAGAGCCTGTTAGAGAAAAGAAACTGCTCCCCCAGAAAAAAAGTTTGGCCAGGCCGCTCCTGCTATAGTGGGCTACAGTACTCCTTGAGAGAAACCGGCCGCACCCTTCTTGCTAACCATTGCCTTCAGAAAAAGGGAAGGTGTGAAAAGGGGAAAATAGCCTCAGACTCTCCTACCCGTCACCTTGGCGTGAGAACTGGTCGCATGAAACCTGCACAGTTATGGCCCAACCCCTGGGACACAGACCCCCCCACTTGGTGACCATTGGGCCATATATGGTAATATGCAAGCGCAGGGAAGTGATGTGCAGAATTGGGGATAAATACCCATGGCACAGTTCGCTCTAAGAGGTCTTCGCAACACACGTACCACCGTGCGTGTCCCTTCTCGTATATTTCCAAGCGCTGCCGGTCTGATCAACCAACCAGCCACCTCCCCTGACTCTCAGGCGTAACCAAGGCCTTCGCAACCGAACCAATATCTGTGAAATGTTCCGTGTGCTGTGTAAGTTGGTATGTATGATTTGATTTTTTCCTGTTGTATAAGCTTAGTGTTGTAGTTGTTTTTGGGTAGTACATAAGAGTTTGTAGTTATCACTGTTATTTAATTACTAGAAATCATAGGATAAATATAATAAATACTGTAAATTCATTATTAACACGGTCTATTAAAAATCTTAGAATAAATACTATACATTCACCACTGTCATAAATAAATATTTTTTATTTGATAAAACTGTCCACCTGGTTCTGTCCTTCCCCCCTTGGGTATTTATCATCAGACCTGTGATTCTCGCGACAGAGCCCTTATGACAACCTGCATTAACTACCATGCTAGTTCTGCAATCTCATGTCACAGGCCAGATAATAACTGGGACATGGAGATTAACTCCACATTCCCTTCCTCAACACTCACACTCATGGTTCAGCATCAGGAAGCCTACACTCTCATATGCCATACATAATCTAGTTCGTGAACATAGGTATTTCAGCTTCCTAGAAGGTCCCAGCCCAGCACGGCTCCTAAGCACTACATACACACAGAAGATGTTTAACGAAAACTCTTTCTTCAACCTCTTGTGATGTCTTGGGAAGCAGGAATAAAAGGGAAGGAAGAGGTGAAAAATGGTAATCTCCATGTTGAATGGCTGCTTCTTGTACAGAATCCCATTGTCACTACAACAGCACATAACAAACATATTCAATACAACATGCTCCTTCTCACTTGCCTGCCCACAGATCTTGGGGCTAGCTAACTTTTAACAGAGCCAACTCTTTTCTGCTAACTTTGTTTTTGGCACTGTGATGCAATAGCACTAAAGATCAGCACAACTCTGGCTGCATACCCAGTGCCACTGGGTCACAGAGCTTGGCACAACAGCAGCTGTATTAACAGCACTTAGTTCTGGGCACCTCATTTCCAGAAAGAAAATAGCAAGCTGTAAGGATTTCAGCAGAAAAAGAAAGCAACAAAGACAGTCACAAGAGTGGACAGAGAGATTTAGAAGGAAAAGTAAAAAGAAATATACACAGTTTGGCAAAGGGACAATTAAAGGGATAACAGAAAAAATGCCTGAGGAGTGAAATGGCCAAGCCGGGCGGGGGGAGGAGGAGGGGAATCTTTTATCCTTCTTATGGACTGGACCATCTGTATCCAGCTTTTGGGGAACAAAGTGTTGCTGTGAGAGGGTTCTAGCCCTGTGAAAATTTGCATTGCTTCGGATATCCCTGTGTGATTCCCAAAGACTTCGCCATCACCATTGAGAAAGCAACAATTCTGGCACAGTTGCCTTGAACCAACATGTTGATGCATCATCCCTGTTCCAAATACAGTAGCAAAAAAATTTCTATGGAAGGGAAGAGAAGAAAAGACAGAAGAACAGAACCCACAGCCATGTAAATATTTGGATAATTATCCTCGTGTCATACAAAATGCCCACAATGACCTGGTTTTTCTCTATATAGTTACTTTCTTTTTTAAATCACTTTCTACAGTACTTTGGAAAAGACAGGTCATCTCTACCAGACCCCCTTCTCCATATTCCAAAGGTAAACAAGAACAAAATCAGAGGTAAATAGGAATTTGGATGTTTTCTTTGTTGAAAAGAGAGTGAAGGATTAATTTAATTTCCTAAACAAACCTGGCACTCAAATCAGCTTACCATCTTGCACCTCTCTACAAGGATAAGCAGAGCACCTTAATTCTAATGCCCAATTTGACTTATTAAAGGAGGCTTCACAGAAAAGACAACAATTCAATAGCTTAGAACAGAGAAAGAATGAGTGAGAACAGGAAGCTTTGAGTAGACCGGCACCATCTTAAATAAAAACATATGTCAATACAATTACTGTTAGTCATAGTAAATTTACCAAATTAGGGAAAACCGCAGAATGGACCCTAAGATCCTAACCATGCCAAAAATGTAAGAAAATTTAGATCAAATGAAATATTTCTAGAATGGACTTGAAATATAACAGCCCTGAACTTGGAGGATATTAGACCTGTGTTTGAATTTAATGGCTATAAAAATGCATAGAAAAAGAAAGCAGGGTTATAAAAAAAAAGCATAATTGAATGTAAATTTCAAAAGGCTTGTGCTAAGGGAGAAATAGTTTTACTTGTTACACCTGAAAGCACAGTTCATCCAATCAAGCCATTATTCATTAACAAACAGGAAGAATACAGATGATATCTACAATAAGCACTTATCTCTCTAGCCTTAAACACTGATGTGCACCGCATTGAGAATACACTGAACTCTGAACCTGACTTGCTCCAAAAGGCTAACTGTGCTTTCATGGGTCACTCATCTCAGGTTTTACTCTCTCCACAGAACAGACTGTTACTGTAACTACAGAGAAATGGAAGAGACTAGTAACAGGCCCATAGGCAGGGGGATGTGAAGGGTGTAAAAGCACCCCATCATGACTCACTACAAATGAGTATGCAGTCCTGTCCAGGGAAACTGCTCCACATGTGTGATTAAACTTCATTTTCCACAGATACGTGCAGTTTGCACTTGAAATCTGCTTTCTGTGAATATTTGTGCCAGTAAAACTCTTTGTTCAGATGTTTGTAGAAAATGAATGGAAAAGGTGTGTAATTACAGCCAGAGCCAGTTCTCTTTTACTCGTCTTTTTCAGTCTAACAATATTAGTGCTGCAGGGGTGTTTTTCTTCTGAGCACCCCAGAACCCCATGGAAGCAGCAGCAGCACGTGACTGGCTTCCTCAGATAAAATAGTCCTAGATATTCCTTGTTGTACCGTGTGTATTTCAAGCCACCGACAAAACTCATCTGAGGAAATGAAAGCTCATGATACTATATTTGTTAGTCTCTAAAGTGCTAAAGGTTTGCTCATCATTTTATTAAGCTGCAATAAGCAATAAATGACCTGCCAGCCCCTTCTGTGTTTCTTTTACTCCTGGAGGAATTCTGTGCCAAAAAATTAAAAAATTCTGTACTATAAAATTAAAATTCTATCCATAATATTTTAAAATTTGGTAAAATTATGCATCACCCTCCCATCTAATAGTAATGTAACTAGTATTCACCCTTTATTTCTAGTTATTAGTCAACAAATATATGTAGTCATATGCTCCGTGTTACCTCATAGGCAACTGAAGAGCAAGTGAGGGATGAGGATTCAAACTCATAATTTGAACTGACTACTGATTATCCCCAGAAAGGTCAGTAGTAAACAGTTCATAGACTATATTTTATTAGGAAATTTTTTCAGTCCAAAAATTTGACCAGTTCTAATCACATTTATAAAGTCCTTCTGTCCTTTACATCACTCTGGCAATATAAAGGAGCCTTAACATTTTTTATACTCCGAGAGGAATTCACTAAGAACAATGGGAACAATTCACTAATCTGGCAGGCTGTTATATTCTGCTCTGCCTGAGTGGACAGAGCCTGCCCCACACCTACCTCCTTAGAAACACCCTAACACCCTGTCTCTCCACACAAAGCATGCTGCAAGCACAGAGTCTCTGGAATGTCTGTCTCTCGCGCGCACACACACACACACACACACACACACACACGCACGCACGCACGCACGCACGCATGCCTGCCCAGTCTCTCCCGCCCTGGCAATGATTCTACATCCCTATCAGTCGCTTTGGGCACCCAGACCAATCCTTCCTGCTCTGCTGAGGAGAAATTAATGTCTAGCTATCCTTTTTACTTCTCTAGATGAAGTAATTTTTCTGCAGGGAAGCAAAGAAATCTACAAAGGCTATGAATTCTGTACATTTGCAGTGATATACAATAGTCTCAGGGGTACTCTCTTCACTTCTAAGCACACGCAGTGGTTCAGACAAGAGGTTTTGAGGCCATCTTCTTCATGTTTGTGGCATTCAGAGTGACAATCACAGCTAAACCACCACTACCAGACTGTATTAATTCATTGCCTGGTTTCAAATGCATAAGTGAACTATAAGTGGCACAGGAAAGGAGGGACCAACCCTTTCTTCTGTCTCTATTTCCATTTCTTAAATCCTCTAGTACTCTCCTCAGTCTTAATTCACTGTTTGGCAGGCTGCAGAAGGACTTGATTCATGATGTGTACACTGGTGTCACATTTGCCAACTCTCCTCGAATATACATTAACAACCTTGCATTCCCTAGTTTTAGGCACCACGAAAGATGGCTGAGTTGGATCACAGCTTAATATTCATACTGTGTATGTGTGTGTCACTTCCTGTGTGATTCTGCAGCAGATGCAGAATTACAAGGTAGTTTGTTCCTTCCTAAACAAATTGCCTCTCTGTTCACCTGTTTTTTAGTTTTCACCAGTGGAATTTCCTGCCACCTGTGTCTACTCACTTAACTAGATTCCATGTAGGAGATATTACAGCACTTTGTACAATTATTTAAATAGACATTTAAACAACTTCCACTCAGCAGAAATAAGACAAAAGCCTAATTAGGTCACAGTCACTTCAGAGGAGATAGAATTCACCTACCTGTTTGGTTATCTTCAAGGGGTGTTTCTTCTTCACCCTCTCTTTGCCTCGTTCAGTCTCCCTTTCAGAGCTCCCAGCATCATTATTATGGCCATTTTCACTAGGCTCAGTGGACACATAGTTTTCAGATTCTCGGGGTTTCTTTCCTGGATGCCTCTCCCACTTCTCCTTTCGCTCCTGAGGCTTTAATGACATGTCCTTCTGTGGAGAGGAAAAAAAATTAAGAGCAAAACCTTTAAGCTCTTCCAGTAAGCACTAGAATGTATTACATGTCTACAGCATCTAGCAGAAGTGTCTACCTGCCATTAGGTTCTAAAGCAATTTAAATGTTCAATAAAAAATAACATAGGTCTTGTTTCTAAGAGAGAAGCTGAAAATGAGCAATATATTAGTAGGCAATACAAACAAAAATTAGATTTTGAGTGGGATGAATTTTCTCCAGGCTTTGTGGGTAACAACTTCAGAGAACTAGTCATGACAACAAGTTCATGTCTGACTAATAGAAAAGCCACATTTCACTCATAAGCACCCAAACACCAAAACATCTCAGAAGCAAGCTCTGTAAGGTTTTCTCACCATTACTGGTTATGTATCATACCTAGTGACATAGTAATTTGTAAACTGAGTAAGACATAGGGATTATGATTCAGAAAAGTATCCCTGCTGGGCAAAGAACTTTACTAAATATATATGCACTTACCTGAACAGGGATGCTTAAGTCAAAAGGATTTAAACATGTGGTTCTAGTAAAAGTTTGTAAGTGCCCTCCTGAATCAGGGCCAGAATGCATACCTTGAAGGTAAAATATTGAAGACATTGGTGGAGTGTGTAGTAAAACAAAGTCAATAGAGATAGAGAGAGCAAAGAAAAAGATACATCATTCAATTATGTTCTTCACAAACATACAGTAAAGTTAAAGAAAAAGGTACTTTATTACATTCTTTGAAGTTGACTACTGGAAAAACTATGCAAAGCACACGTGGCAAAATAGACTGCAATGAACTGGCTATTATAAGAAACAACATACAAAAATATTCAATAGTTGTGGTCAGGGTTCCTGTAAGGTGCACGCTTGCGTGGGTATACACCAAGAATTTCATTCCCATCCACCCCCTCAGCAGAGCTGCACAACTGTTGCCTCAGCTGCCCCTGGGGGCGGGGCGGCATGCAGGGTGACTGCCCACCACAGGAGCAGCTGGTCAATCACCATGCAGTCTGCATGGCTGCAGCTTCCTGCTGTGTATCTCTGCGCCTGGGAGCAGCAGGGGCTGCCCTCTGTGGCAGTTGTTGGGGCCAGGACCACAGTACTAAAAATAGCACCGCAGCCACAGCGAGTCCCGGTACATGCGGCATGCTGCTCCGTGTGCTGGGACTGGAGCCAGGCCAGGTGCAGCTGCTCCTGGACTGGGGCTGAAGTACTAAAAATAGCACTGAGGCCCTGACTCCAGCCCCAACACACAGGGCAGCCATCTGCCATTCTGCCCTGCCTGGCAGGTGTAAGTGTCAGGAAGGCAGAAGATAAGGGAAGGGGCAGGAGGAGAACTAAGGGGAAGGGGGGATGAAGAGAGGAAGGAGTTTATGCTGAGGGGAGAAGAGGGGGCCAGGGCAGAAGAAAGGGGCAGGCACCAAAGGGCAGGGTGGAGGAAAGACAAATGCCAGTGGGCCAAGATGAGACAATGAGGCGAAAGGGCAGGAGGAGCAGGGGTGGAAGGGAATGGGAAGGTATCTGTGGGAGTTGGGGAGGGGAAGGGGCAGGGTGATGCAGGAAGAGAAGGGAGGGGCAATGTGAAGGAAGAGGAGGTGGAGGAGTGGGTGACAGAAGAAGAGGGGTTGAAAGGAGGGATGGGCATGAGGAAGGCACGGGATGGAATAAGTCGTGTCATGTGAGGGTGAGGAGGGGTATGAAGAGAAATGGGGCAGAGGGTGGTGAGGGGGTGGGCACCAGGGAGGAAGAGGGCAAGGTGGCAGGTGTTGAGAGGGTAGGGGCAGTGAGGAAAGGGGAGAGGCACCAGGAGGGTGCAGGGGGTAAGGTAAGGTGCAGGTGCCAAGGGCATTGTGGGGATGAAGCAGAAGGGCAGACCTGGGGAGGCGAGGGGAAGGGAGGAAAAGGGAGGGGAAGGATGGGCACCAGAGGGCAGAGAGAGGCAGGGCAGATGGGTAGAGGGAGGTGTTAGCAGAGGGGATGGGGAAGAGGGGTCGACATGGGGGAGAAGGGCAGGAGCAGGCATCAGAGAGGATGGGGATGTGAGGCAAGTCCCAGGAGGGCTGAGGAGAGTGAGAAAGGCAGGAGCCAGGACAGCAGAGGAGGATGAGAGGTGGGGATAAGCAGCAGCAGGCTCCAGGGGAGTAGATGGGGCAAAGGAAGGATGGGAGACATAGCAGCAGAAGAGAAAAGGGAGAGATTTATAACTTGGGTACCATAGTGGCACACATCTGAACAAGCACACATGACCTCAATATTAGTGCACAAGACAAAACTCACTCAGCTCATGGAAGGAAAATCTTAGAGGGAACACTAATTGTGGTTATGTAATTCTAAATAGTCAGATTTAGATTTTTACCATACCTTTTATTATACCATCCAAGAGCCAAAACTAACCCTTTCAAGTGCTTTGCAGACTCACTGTCCCTATACATTTTTCACATAAACTAATGGAATCAAATTAAAAGATGCATTAAAATTTCTACTGATTATTCCTAAGTTTATCAAATTCTGAGAGAGAAACTTTTATTTTTTTAAATTTGCAGACCATATCCTCTGACTCAGTCACAACCATTTCATCAACATTCATATCCCATGTGAAGGGAGTTCACAATAGCACCTATTCATCTTGACCTACACTTATCTTCAATGCGCAAGAGTTACATCAGCTTCCTATCCCTGGAAACTCAAAGCATCCTACCAAAAGATGAGCTGAGTATTGGGAGAAAATTCCCTGGTTCCTGCTCTATGCTATTTTCCCCTCTTAATTTGAACATTGGGCTTCTTAGTATGCATCCTTCTGTTTCCATTTCAAATCATTCACCACTTATAGTTTTCTTTCCTTCTGAAGTTAAATGATGCACTGACATTCTAGTGAGATGCATAAACATATGAGTTTGTATCTGGTTCATAACAATAACAAGTGTGGGGGAGGGCAGGAGGACAACTAATTTTCCATACTCAACTATATCGACATTCAATGGTTATGCACACAGGCAAGTCACTGTATAGTTTAGCACAGGATTGTTTAAGGCAGCGTTTTCCAACCGCCGGTCTGCAGACAAATGGCGGGCCATGAACCGCTTGGTTACCAGGACCCAGTGGCTCTGGGGGTCGGGACTGGAGTCCACGGCTCAGCACCTCCCACCATGGCTGTGAGGAGAGACACATCTTGCCCCGCCTCTCAGCCAGCCAGCACTGAGCAGGGGCAGGATCTCCTCCCAGATGCAGAAGAGTGGTTCATTACACGGCGAGAGGGACGCATGAAGCCTGGCATGGCAGCTTTAGAGAAGCTGCGACCCGGGCAGCAGCACTCAGCTGGCAGCTGGGAGGCAGTGCAGGGCTATGTGAGGGGGGTGGGGCAGGGCAGGCCCTCGGAGCTCGAGGGCCAGGCTAATGCTGGGGAGCTGTAGGGGTGGGAGGCTGGCACTGAGAGTTCTGGGGGTGAAGCTAATACTTGCGGACTCTGGGGACAGGGCTAATACTGGGGAGCTCTAAGGGGTGGGGGCTCTAAGAGGCAGAGGGCTGACACTGGGGCATCTGGGCTGGGGAACTGGTATGGGGGTCTCTGGGAGAGGAGCTAGTAGTGGCAGGCGATGGGAGCAGGGCCAGCACTGGGGTCAGCTCTGGGGGGACTGGGTGCTGTGGGGCTTTGGAAACAGGAGGCTGGCACAGGGAGGTCTGGTGGTGGTTGGGCTCTAAAGGGCATGGGGCTGGCAATAAGGCATTTGGGATGGGGGCTGGTACTGGGGTTCTCTGAAGGGAAGCTGACACGGGGGGTTAGGTGCAGGGGACTTTGGGGTCAGTGGCTGGCACTGGATGGTAGTGGAGGAGTGGGGGGCTCTTGGAGTTAGGGCTGGCACTGGAAGGTCACAGTTGCCGCCCGCCATGTGGCAACTGCCAGAGCTGAAGCTGGCTGTTCGTGGTGGCTCTGGGGGCCAGGTCTTTCGGCAGATTGGTAACATTTTGTGTGTACAATTCCATATTTGTTGTTTGCATAATGATATGCAAATATGCAAATAAAATAATATTAGTCAGCCAAAGATTTGTGAACTGTTATAAAAAAAGTTGGGAACCATTGGTTTAAGGGGCTAGCAGCATCTCCTCAACACATACACACATGCAACCCCACTAAGGAGCAAGTATAAAAAAAATCAACAATGTCCCCTAGACGTGCAGTGCAAAAATAGACTATGCTGTTGACTGTTAAACCTGTCAGTATGAAGAGAGCACCAGGAAAATGGTGGTTCTCTGTAAATGCTAAAATTAGAACTTCAACTCAGGATTTCAGTTTCAATATCTCTCTCTAAAGCAACTGTTTGTAGTGCCCCTTATAGAAAGTCACACCCTCCTACTTGCTGGGATGTTTTTAAGACAAATTGACTGTTTAAGTTCTGATAACTAATCAGAAAGTATTGTAACTGGAACTTTCATTGCCCTGGCTAATCACCTGATGCTCAAATAGCCATGTAAAATATTAGAAACAAAAGCCACTGGAAACTTGTCTGGTTCAGCTTTTCATGTGAATTTATGGGAAGATTTTCTAAGGCACTTTTGAAAAATTAGTACCTTTGAAATATTTCCCAAAATGTTCAGTTTGTATTCACTGACAAATTCTATTAGTTTTACAAAACTTACCCATACACTCAGACTGGTGAAAGATTTCATGTGAAACTTACTGCTTGGAAATTCATAATTTTGTTCTGAGTAAAAGCGAAATTAATTCAGGGGATGCCATCACCACTGGATCAAGGCCAAAAAATATAATACATTTGCTTCTAGTACCCCTAACACCAAAGTACTTTAGAAAAGTTAATAAATTAATATGCACAACACAGTGTGAGTTAGGTTTGTATGTGTGTTTTCCTCATAAGGTAACTGATTCATAGAGGTCTCAGCACACATAAGGCAGAGCCAAAGGAAGATCTCAAATATGTCAGCCATAAGCCATGATTTCAAGCCCATTCTCTCTCTCAAAGAACATTTGTACATAACTAGG